TCCTACAGTTCTTCAGAAGAAGTCGTTCAAAAGGAAAAGTTGAAAAGACGATGGACGCCGGACACCGCAGTACGGCATAAGCTCACATGGCCCTTCGGGCCAGGTGAGCTAAAAATGTTTGTTTCCGGTTACCTGAATGACCCTAATTTTATTGAGCGACTCTAACAATTTCCCAGCAAAATTCCGGAATTTCCGGCTTTTTGTTACCGTTTTCCGTTTTACATTTTAGATGCTTGTATTCAAGCGCTCTTTCGACATGGACTGTATTTTAAGATGGCTTCCCTACGCACAACAGTGCTTGCATTAAAGCTTAACAAGAGGCCCAATGGGCCTGCATCGCTCACCTGGTATTAATCTCACACTTGTTATCTTAAAAGTGGACTAAAATACAGCTACAGGCAGAATATCAGTGTTTGAACCTATTAAAAGATTTAAACATACGGCGCCTGTGACCTTGAATGTCGAACAAGAACATTAGGTTGAACAGAGTTAATAATCTTCCAACCGAGCATGCTTCTGGCAAAATATCATTACCCTGGACCTTTTGGTTATACAGAACAAATCATTTAAAGATTTAAACATTTGAATATAAATTAAGGTCATTCATTTGAACAAACTTGGTAGCCCTTTATCTCAGCATGCTACTGGCCAAATATCATTACCCTGGACATTTTGGTTAATGAGAAGAAGTTGTTTAAAGTTTTTAACATATTTGACCCTATGTGACCTTGAATATGGGTGAAGGTCAATCATTTGAACAAACTTGGTAGCCCTTTACCCCAGCATGCTACTGGCCAAATATCGTCACCCTGGGCATTTTGGTTATTCAGAAGTTGTTTAACGTTTTTTTAAGACAATTGACCACTGTGACCTTGAATATAATTGAAGGTCATTCATTTAAACAAACTTGGTAGCCCTTCACCCAAGCATGCTACTGGCCAAATATCATCTCCCTGGGCAGTTTGGTTATCGAGAAGAAGATGTTTAAAGTTTTTAATATATTTGACCCCTGTGACCTTGAAAATAGGTGAAGGTCATAAATTTTAACACACTTTGTAGCCCTTCATCCAAGTTTGCTTCTGGCCAAATATCATCACCCTAGGCTTTTCGGTTATTAAGAAGAAGTCTTTTAAACTAAAATATTGACGACGGACGGAGCGCCACGACATAAGCTCACTTGGCACTTCGTGTCAGGTGAGCTAAAAATGGCGCATGCGACTACTATGCACTCTGTTTTGACTATAGAAATAAATTCACACTATAGTTTCTTTTTTTCATATAAATTCTAAAGGTCATCATAAAATGTTAATATGCTGACAAAAATAAATATTCATTTGAAACGTAAAATACTGCAAAATTTAAGCCTTGATCCGTTTTGGGTCGGAGACGTTGATTGGTGACTTCAGAGCGTTCTATAAATATCTCAAGTGAGCCCAGGGTATGCTAATTTTGTTTGTAAGAACACCCATCAATATTCCTTTTTTGATACAACAATAAATGAATATAATTCCTCGTCAGATTTTTTAATGATTTAAAAAATGATGGTTTGGTGATCCGATTTGGGTACTGTCACCTTATGTTATTAACTTTGGAGTTAACTATCTCACTTTCGAATGCCACGGGATTGGAGACGATTGGTGACATCGCAAGGTGAGTTTGTTTGAATTAATTTCAATTTTGTGAAAGTTTTGAAAGCCTTGTTCAGTACAATCTATTCAATGGTTAATTTATACATACCGTGAGTGTGGCTATAACGAGACTCCTGCCAGATATAAACTACTGGGTGTAGGTGTGGCTGTGACAGCTATAGTATTCAATATACCGTAAAAACCCATGTAATTTGCGCACTTTTTTTTCAGAAATTTAATACCCAAAGTGGGGGGGGTGCGTAAAATATATATAGAAAAATTCAAGTTTTTTTCAGGAAAAGATCGACGATTCTGAGAGATCGCCATCTTGGATTATGTCCCTTGGTACACGGAACTCTAAGACAAATGACGATCAACAAATTTATTTATGTCAAACATTAATAAAAGATACATAATGTGTTGTTATGTGAGTTTATGTGAAAAGTATTAATAAATAGGTAACCGTTAGCCAAATTTCTATGCCAGAGAATCGCCGATCAACTTACGACATTACGTTTCGACATCTCGGTGCGTTTCCCCATACTATTACGAAAATGTAGTTGTTCAATTTAAGCTCCGTTCTATGTAAGTTCTGTAAGTTTTTTCAAATCGCCTATGCGTATACGTATAGCATGGGTTTTTTCCGGCTCACTTTCATGTTGATCTCGCGTCTAACATGACGTAAACACGTGATTGATAATAACCTCGTGAATTATTTCAATATTTATTAAATGAAGCATCGTAAAAATAGTCTGCGTTAACTATTTTTTTCCTTGGAGTAGATTTGAAGAGGATGTATTGATTGTCCACGCTTCTAGTATAAACATATTTTTTATAATCCCTTATCAGTCAAATCAGTCTGTAGTTATGACAATGCAGTAGGGCTTCGTAATTCACGCCACGTGTTGGCGAGTGAAAAAAACAACAACACGGTCCGTCGATCGCGACTGCAAATCATTTCAATTAGTAGAGCTATTGTTAACGGGTAATCACAGAGATAGTGTTAGCTCATTACTGCATTGTAATTTGTAAAAAAATATCGCCAAACCACGGACTTAGATAATCTAATTCCGTGGCCAAACTGAACTGTGACATGACCTGGTTTGAAGTGACGTAACCCAAGCCGCCATGATGAGCCCTTCTCACTGATCGTAATTATGATCAATAAAAGGTATCTAATTATGTCTTTCACCAGGAGATATGCACCAGCGGTTACTAAACATCGAATTACTTATTAATTGATATGTTTTTGTAAGCAAGCAAATGTTTTATGTAAAATATTGCTAAAATGAATTGATGTATGCCGATATGCGCACACATGTGTGATCAGATAATTCAAAGAAAACAAGCAACAAAATACACATTTTACGTAGTTTCTTCTTGGTTTTAAATATCATTTTACATCAATGAAAAATAAATCATAGAAATATATTTTTTTTAAATATATTCAGAGATCGATTTTCGGAGCATGAACATCGTTTTTTTCCCGATTTTTTGGGTGCCTGATGTCTGCATTATCTTTTTGTTTTGGTGTTCAATTTCGTGTGTATAATCAAAATTTATAAAAAAAAAAATTAAAAAAAAATCCCTACCCCCCTATACTAATTTTTTCCAGCATGTAACAGGAAATAAACATATTCATTTGTTAGGCCTTACTGAGAACCCTGAGCGGTCGTAATTGGTATTGAACAAAAAATATCACATTTCGGCTTTATTCCTTAACATACAAGTAAGACTGACTTGGTTTGACGTTCTTCCTTAATGATATAGACGTTTAACGTGAGTTTTAATTCGGACTGGCACCTAAAGATCGAAGTATTGATTAGTCATATGTGTTTGCACGTTTGTAGTATTTCACGCATATTCCGGTTTTCTCCTACATTCATTGCAATAAAAGACCATTTTGTCCGTCATTATGGATTGTCAAGTGCTCAAAAAAAATCTTTAAAGAGTTCCAACAAGGGAGAATTCAAAAGGAAGAGTATCGCAGGTATCACGCTACAGTCTTGTCGCATCATTGCATCGTATCAAGGCCCTTGCGATCCAATACATTGGTGAATCGTTACACCCCTAGCAATAAGTATACGTAATTGAAATAAAATGTTCGATGGAGTATATGTATAATAAATTGAAATAGAGTGCATTTCAATGAATTCTAATTGTTGTGTTAATATTTCTGTGAATAAACGTCTACGAATGACTTTTCATGCATCATAACGTGATGCTACCCAAAAAGACAGAATGCTATCCGCAATGGAACATTTTTTCCAATGTGTTGTGCAGCATTTGTATTATTTAATACCATTAAATTTTAACTCTTCTAAATGAAAATTATCAAAATTATCAAGCCATTTTCATCTGCTTACATACAGGAAATTTATATGAAGTGGTCGCAGTCTGTATTTACCTAGGTCCAGAAGTGTTGGGGACTTCCTGCTCTGAGGGTATGGGATGGAGTGTTACAGAGTCTGTATTTACCTCTACTAGGTCCAGAAGTGTTAGGGAGTTTCAATGGGTTAGTCCCCTTCATATGAATTTGATCAATATTATCACAAATTACGACAACACTGAATACTAACTATAGATTCAGAGATATCAGATTCAATAGCTTAACAATTAAACTGGATTAAGAAATAAGTATCACTTGTCTTCAAAAGTGCAGAGTTCATTAAGTTCCGAAAATAAAAGTGCCGAGGTAACCAAGTGTCGATAATATAAGTGCTGAGGTGTCCAAATACCGAATTGACAAGATTGCCAAACCCTTGCTTTAAGCATTGAACACATGCTTGACAAGGGGCCCCGGTACCCAAATCTGGTTTGTAAATAGTAATGCAAGATTTTGCGGTAACAATTCGTTTCTGGACATACACAAGATGTAAATAGCAAACTCCAAGGAATACATTCCAACATGAGAGGAGGAAAACTGTACAGTAATCCAGAGGAGTTCTGTGTAAATAATTTTAACTCTCCGGAGACCACAACCTAACCTATAAAAATGAGAATGCAGAACAATAATGAGAAGAAACATTGAGGTGGTCAAGAGATGTAAACGTCTATCAACAGACCGAAACCAGGAAGGTAGAAAGATGCTTCAAGACTTGGTAAGCCGTTTCGAGACATACAAAAATTTACATATATGTTTTGTGTGTATATATATATATATTAGAGTGACAGGGTTAAAAACACCGACAACATAGTCTTTTTGTTTCAACTCAAACTACTGCATCCCTAAAACTTGCACACTACAATCACAAACCTACTGTCATTTGCATGCTAAATGTTACCAAAACGGTTACAATCTGGTCAATCTAGGCTACAGGGACTGCGAAAGTGCAAACGGTGGAATTCAAGGTACGGTAAGTCTATATTTACCCATAGGTTCATCATCATCATCATCATCATAATCGTCGTCTTCATCCATGGGTTCTCCAGGGGGAGGACTAGCACCAGCAAATCGTACTCCACGTTCTCCGGAATCATCTTCGTCATCCCTGTCGATGTTCTTTTTGCTGTTTAATTTCACGAAATAATTTGCTGCAAACTGGACAAGATCCGGTGGTCTTTCTTTGAGCACAGAAACAGTAAAATCCTGTAGAAGATCCGTCAGTCCTGGTGGTATTTCGAAATTCATGATGATAACGTACTGTTTAACACTAAAATAAATTTGGTTTTAAAAGCGCGTTCACATTCACTTTTTTTTCTAACACTCATACAAGTATGTGTGTCGCATGTGTATTCCGTATGTAAACCATTCGATGAGTCTCGGGTAACCAGCTTTGATGACGTCACTCATGTAGGTACTACACAGATATGTTACTTTATGTAAGTTATGCTCAGAAAAGTATTTTAAGAATAAAATGTATGTTTATTCATATTTTACAGTGCCTATAGATATGCAAAACATTAGATAACGCGTAAATTGATTATGTATATTGACTTTCTTCTAAGGACTATATTCTGTCGCGTGGTTATAAGTCTCACTCTCGCTGATGGCGGGAGAGTTGACAGCTACCGTAATTACCTACATGAAGGCCTAACACACGAAACTTGTTGTCAACCTGCCTGTTTAATACCATCATACGTTTACATTATTTTTCATTCTTCCAAATATTCATTTTTTAAGAAAGTACGGAATACCGATAGTTGTTTAGAGTTGTAATGCCCGAATATACATCGATAGGCATAGATAGCCTAAAAAAATCGATTTTAGCATCTAATATTTGGAAACAAACTAATTTATCTAAACTAATCGGAATTGGTGCTACCTAGAGGCGAACGCTTAATAAAATTAAACTGTATACATTTTAATTTATTGAATAAATAGTGTAACCCCATAATACTAGTCTTAGAGAAAGAATAAATATTTTAGATGATATCGCATCGCTAACAGACTGGATCAATTTTGTATTGAAAGCGCTGGTACAATGTACATGTACAAGGTTTGTCAGAGACAGGAAGCGGAGAGAAACGTATAAAAGCGATCGTCAGTCCGGAACTTTTCTTTGTTCATTTTCTTGTTGGAAATCCCGTGTTTTGATCTTGATCAAATCTAGTTAAGGCTTTTCACCAACTGGTGAAAAGACCTATTGTTTTTGTTAAGTTTCTTATTCTTCTTCTTTTTCTTCTTCTTCGTGGAGTCTGCATCTTTTGATTGGTAAAAGATAGGTTTATAGTCTATTAGGTATGTTGTAGGCAAAGGTCTGAAGATGTTACAGGTAACATTTTCAAGTAGGTCAAAAATCCAATATGGCCGCCATGACGTCATAGATTAAAATCTTTAAAACCGCTATAACTCGAAAACCGTTGATTGTACAGAATTTGAGCAAAAATATTATTTGTAGATAATTTCCATATGTACCTTTTCTCATTACATGTAAATACAAAATATTTCAAATAAAAAGCTCACTGTTGGGTAAAAGGTCACAATTTTTAAAAACCGTTCAATTTTTTTGAAGAATTCTTCTACAGATCGATGAAGAATGTCATTCCGATGAATTTCATGTCTTTATTTTTTCTGTAACATTTACCTTTTACATTTTACGCCATTTTTAATATTTTCTTTGATATTGCAATATTTTAAAACTTGTTTTACTCCAATATCAATGACAAATATTTCGTTAAGTTGTTATGGAAAAGGTTTCCTCGGATTTCCTCTAACATATGGTCATATTTTCAACTTAATCAAAAAACAAAATGGCCGCTATGAAGACATATCCGATTTTTTCTCTAATTGCAATACCTCATTAACGGGTATATGTATATGTATTAAATTTATTTTTGGATATGTTGTGCAGAATAATAAATAAACAAGAGGGCCAAGAGGGCCTGTATCGCTCACCTGAATATTTAAGCAGTCATAACAAAATATTCTCATTCAATATTATATTGCACTAAAAACATTTCCCTCACATACTTTGTTGGCTCCATCTGCTAAAACTACCAGCAAAATATTATTATAAGATTCTATGCTTTTTGATTCTTCTTCAGAAGTTGCTTGACATATTTTTCCCTGTGAACTTGTAAGTAAGTCGATGTCATTTTCCTTCTCAAATTGGTTAGCTCTATTCCTTAAAAGCTACCAGCCAAATCTTATGAATCCATTCCTTTTAGTTCTTAAGAGCATGTCTTCCATAAAACCATGCAAAATCGTCCAGATGCAATATTCTCCAGATTGATTCATAATTGGCACACATGTTCCTTATGGTAAAACAACTTCTCATGCAATTTTTTTTTCAAAAAATATTGAGCCACTTGGATTTTATGCTACAAAATCTAAAAATAGATTATTGCATAGAAAAGTGACTCATTTTCAAGACATGGTTTTATGGAAGACATGCTCTTAGAACAAATCCATTAAAATGTTGTTGACCTCTGTGACCTCTGAAGTAGGTTGAGGTCATTTTCATTCCCAAATTTTGGTGAGCTCTTTCCCAGGAAGCCACCTGCCAAATATTAAGATTTTATACCTTTCAGTTCTTCAGAAGAAGTTGTTCCAAGCGTTAGACATATCTGACTCCTGTGACCTTGAAAGGAGGTCAAGGTCATTTTCATTCTCAAACTTTGTTAAGCTCCATCCCAGGAAGCTATCAGCCAAATATGAAGATTCTATACCTTTTAGTTCTTCAGAAGAAGTCGTTTGAAGGTTTTGACATATTTGACCCCTGTGACCTTGAAAGTAGGTCAAGGTCATTTTCGTTCTCAAACTTTGTAGGGCTCCTACTAACAAAGCTTTCAGACAAACATCATGACTCTAGGTCTGTCCGTTCTTCAGAAGAAGTTGTTTAAAGGAAAAGTTGACGGACGAGGACGGACGGCCGGACGACGAACGGACTGACGACGGACGCCGCACCATGACATAAACCCTTCGGGCAGGAGAGCTAATAATACATAAATTTTGAGTAAAATGTCAACTTCCGTTTTTCCGTAAAGTTCAAAGTTCAAATGCTGAGATGATTGGGTATCAGGTTTGAACAAATGGTTGACCTTGATCGACTATCAAGGTCACAAAGGTCAAATGTTTAAAAAAAAAAATATCTTTTATCAAGAATATTTCGAAAATTGTTCGTAAGATTAACTTTATGTTCAGGTATGATGTGGACAGCACTAATGCGCATATTTTGAGTTGATCAGGTCCAGTTTTGAGTTATTTAGGGGTCAAATTTCATGTGATTTTTCAGTGTACCAGCTTCAAAAATCTTCTCAATAACCAAGTGACCCAAGGTCATGATATTTGTTGAATATCATGTTCACGCAATGGACTATCAAGTTTAAAAATATGAATGACCTTCACATATGTTCAAGGTCACTGGGGTCAATGATGTTAAAATCTTCAAAAGATTCCTTCTCAGTAACGGAAATGCCCAGGGTATTGATATCTGGTTTAAAGTATGCTGGGGGGATGGGCTTTCAAGTGTATGCACAAGAATGACTATTAAAGGTCAACTTCCGGTTTTCGGTAGGGGTCAAAGTTCGAATGTGTAATTCTGTGAAACAAACTTCAAAAATCTTCTTTTAAAAATCCAAGTGACCAAAGGTCATTATATTTATTGAATATTCTTGTTCAAGCAATGGACTATCAAGTTTGATAATATGAATGACCTTCACATATGTTCAAGGTCACTGGGGTCAGTTATGTTAAAATCTTCAAAAGACTCCTGCTAAATAACGGAAATGCCCAGAGTATTGATATTTGGTCTGTAGCATGCTAGAATGATGGGTTACAAGGTTTATGGACATAAATGACCATTACAGATCAACTTCCGGTATTTGATAGAGGTCAAATTCGAACATGTAATTTTACCAGATACCAGGATTTTACTACTGGTGTAAGGGAAGTAACTCGTAAATAGCTATAAGGCCAAATCAGTCCTTCGTGAAAAGCCTGTCAAATTGTTCGCCAACAATTTCTAGTTTAAATTATTTTCGTCGTTTTTATAAATTCTATCCATGTGCAAAAAGTTCCGACTTTTTTCAAGGTAGACAACTCTCATCGGGATTAAAATTATTGTAAAATGTAAAATAAATGAATTATAAAGACTTTGTGTGTATTTGGTTCAATGTTTCACTCTTTTTGTATGAAACTATGTGTCCTGTTTGCTTTTAGCTTGTTTTTAGTAACTTTTATCCGTACAATTTCAATAAAAAAGCTTTTTGTAACATGCTGTAGATATTTTACGATAAATAAAATATTTTTAGGGTTGATAAGCAATGTTTCTTTTCATTATTTTATTGTTGTACTTGTTTTAAACAAAAAATGTGAAAGTGTTGAATTTGACAAAAAAATAATTTTTCGGTTTCAGTTTATTGGAATGCTTGGATTTTTGGCTAATTTCGAAAGGGTGGAGTCTACTTAAGGGCTCGGCCAAGTTTGACAACCACTTTAAACGGACTCCATTTGGCCCCTTGATTAACGAAAAAACGCCATTATCTGCAGTTTCCGCTTAAGAACTCTAGCAAATATTGCCAAATTCCTTCAAACTTGAAAACAATGTTTGTGTTCCTCTGTCCTTCCAACCATCTCGGGCACTCTTTGGTTTTCGTGTGATAATTGCTGTAGATATTGTTAAGATGTTTCAACCAAATTCCATATTCGCATCCAACTCATGCTAAGTTTGCTAACCGATGTGATTTGTGCATATTCACGGATAATCAATGAGGTATAGGGCTTTTTTTTCTTCAAGTTTCAAGCTATACATTATGTCTCAACAGCACGATATTCACATGTTTAAACATAACCTTAATAATGTTAACCTAGAATATGTCCTGCAAGCAGGGGATATATATTCCATGAATTTGCTTATTTTTTTAAATTTTCCTTTATTGCGTATGGTAACAATGAACCACACATCGATTCGTGGTCAACACAGTATCTTTTATATCGATACTGCTTCATCCAGATCAAATCCTGAATAATATATGTATTTGCCTTTCAATTTTTGGTGAAATAAAATTTCGTACCTGTGGAATCACTTTGTTCTATTGTCCGTTTAATGTAATTGGAAAGTATCTAAAACTTTATGTATTTCAGATATCTTTCTTACATAAGTTTTAAGTGCGCCGGGATGAGCAAGGCAAAACAAATACATATGATCAGGAAAGCTATTGTGTTCAGGTTTGTGTTCTTAATAATAATAATAATAATAATATAACACATTTATATGGCGCCCTATATAATTTGTAAAATTACTCTAAGGCACTTTACAACATATGGATAATAGTAATGGTTATAATTGTGAAAACAAACAACAAAGGCATGCAATCACTTTCATACATTTAACAAACAATGTGCACATAATTGAACAAATACAAGGGTGG